AAATGTTCACAGGTTTCTGTAGCTCATTCTTAGAGGTTACCTCCTCAGTGTGGAATCAACTGCTATCCTGCTGTGTTTCTAGGAGTGTGAGTAAGTGTGTGTGTATGTGTGTGTGTGTGTGTTGTGTGCTCCCACAGCTGAACCTGTGTACTGATGTGGTCTGAGAATGAAAATGTGCTCCTCATTTGAGCAAGGCTGAGGGTTTGTTCAGTGCAAACGAAGAGTTAAAAGCATCCACTGGTTGGCTGTGGATGTGTTGGCTGGCTCCCCATAATGACAATACCAGATCGCTATTATCAGAGGTAATAGTATGAGTGCCCAGTGCAGAGTATAACCCCCCCATAACATTATTCCTCTCTCCCTGTATACCTCGGTGTACCAGTGGGAATCTCCAGCTCTATTTCAGCCCAGATTTCCTTTTAATTATTATTGGTTATTATCCTAAGTGGGATTTTACACGCACAGCTCTAATGTTGCACAGGGTCACTGAACCAACATGGAATAGTGGTTACTCAATCTGCATGTTCTCATCCCTGACCTCACACTCACTCACACACTCACTCACACACACACACACACAAAACATACTGTATATCAAATTTAGCCTGGGGCTAAACCTTCCTCCCATGGCCCACCCACACCACATCCACATGGGTCTCGCTTCTACACACCAACTCACCATGGGAGAAAATCTAAACTCTACAGACCCCACCGTACACTCAGCAACTACACTTCAGTGTCTCACAATTGTGACTCACTTCAACAATAAACGGCAGCTTTTGTCGCTGCCTGCTACTCGGTCAGTGACCGAGGGGGTCTGTGGATAAAAAAGCGCAAGTTATTTCAAAAGAAATAGAAGAAAGAAGTGTGGTTTTTTTTGCAGGGCAGGCATTGGTCATCCATATGTGGGTGAGGAGGGATGAAAGAAGAGGAAAGATATGGCCAAGCCCGCCAGGCTTTGAAGCCAATTTGACATAGTGGCCAAATTATGTAATTGACCCTTCCCGCCCCTTTTTGCTCTGAGCTCCAATAAGAGCCAGCCTCTGTCAGAACCTCTGTCAACATCCTCCTTTACTGTACTTAAATATGCTTTGTGCTAGGCTAATCTATGTTGCAAAGACAACCAAATTTTGAAGATGGTTGAAACGATAAAACTGACACACATATGTATATGTATAATACATATACACCGATCATACTATTTACCACCACCTGGGCACCCTGGTGGTCATAATGTTATGCAGCCCCATACCAACAGACT